TGATGCAGCCCCATGGTGCCCAGCACTCCCCCAGCCTTGCTCAGGCAGTTCTGGTGAGGAGGAGGGTGATCTCGCATCTGCTTGGTTGATCTGCTCAAGGGTAGGGAGGCTCTGCAGAGAGATCTGTACGGACTGGAGCAATGGGCTGAGGCCAACTGGAGGAGTTTCAATAAGGGCAAATGCCAGGTGGTGCCCTTGGGCCACAACCACCCCCGGCAGGGCTACAGGCTTGGAGAGGGGTGTCTGGAGAGCTGCCAGTCGGAGAGGGACCTGGGGGCATTGATAATGAGCCAGTACTGTGCCTGGGTGGCCAAGGCAGCCAATGGCATCCTGGCTTGTGTCGGCACTGGTGTGGCCAGCAGGGACAGGGAAGGGATCTGAGCCCTGGGCTCGGCACTGGTGAGGCCGCCCCTCGCTGAGTGGGTTCAGTTTTGGGCCCCTCACCCCAAAAAGGCCATTGAATGACTCGAGCGTGGCCAGAGAAGGGCAACGGAGCTGGGGCAGGGTCTGGAGCACAGGTCTGCTGGGGAGCAGCTGGGGGAACTGGGGGGGTTCAGTCTGGAGAAGAGGAGGCTGAGGGGAGACCTCCTGGCCCTCTGCAACTCCCTGCCAGGAGGGGGCAGAGAGGGGGGATGAGTCTCTGGAGCCAAGGCCCCAGCGCCAGGCCCCGAGGGAATGGCCTCAAGCTGCCCAGGGCAGGGTCAGGCTGGCTCTGAGGAAGGATTTCTGTGCAGAAGGGGCTGTTGGGCGTTGGGATGGGCTGCCCAGGGCAGGGGGGAGTCCCTGGGATCCCTGGGGGCTTGAAGAGTCGGGCTGAGCCAGCGCTGAGGGATCTGGGGGAGTTGGGAAGGGTCAGGGGGAGGGTCATGGTTGGGCTGGAGGAGCTTCAAGGGCTTTTTCCAGCCCAGGTGACTCTGGGATTCTGTGCTTACCTCAGAGGCTTTGTTCCCTCTTTCCCACCAGGGGAACTACGGCTGTGGATGGAGCTGGCTTTGGCATCGATCGTCCCGCCGAGCTGACCAAGGAGGATGATGAGTACGAGGCGTTCCGCAAACGCATGATGCTCGCCTACCGCTTCCGACCCAATCCGCTGGTAAGGGCTCACAAAGCCGAACCAAGACAAACCCACTGAGGCTTCGGTGTGTCTCCTGTCAGGGTGGGAATATTCCTAGTGCTTAGCCAAGAGAGCAAGTGCTGCGAAAGTTTCTCTTTGATTCTGCTCTAATGCTAAATCAAATTATTGCTACCAAAACATCCATGGAGGCTCTCTCCTTGCTGTCTTTTTTTTTTTTTTTAATACAAAAGCCTCTGGTTTCAGTTTTATCTGCCCATACCAAGGTTAAATGCCGCACACAAAGGAAGCAGATGGGCTGTCCGTGAAGCCATGGTTTATTCTGAGTAATCATTTTCCTATTGTAAAAGGTGTGTAAGTCTGCATTTGCCTCTTACTTTCAGCATGCCAGCACACCTGCCAGCAGCCACACACACACAGCTACACTTGTAATTTTTGATGGGCAAACCTCAGGTTTTGCTGTCAGAAATGTCACGTTTCAGTGGCTTTTTCAGATAATTAAGCTCAGGTGCTCATTGTTCTGGGAAGACAGCAATTCTGATTAATTTTTTCTTGTTATTCCCCACAGAACAATCCACGACGACCTTACTACTGAGAATGGTGGGGTTTTTTGGGACAACGTATTTTCAAAACAATTGTAATTTTACTGTGAAATGTTATGAAACTGCATTATCATTCTCTTATTTGCTAATATTGTAAAACTTATGAAGTCACAATGCCATCTTTCACCCAGAAGAGCCTGCAAGCCCGCTCACCACACATCGAGTGTCGTGACAATGCTGTTGTAACGGGGCCGGGGTGGTGTTCCGAGAGGAGAACACAGATCTTACACGGTGCCCTGCTGAGAGTGGAGGGTAGCACCAAAGATACCCGTAGGACTAGTTCAGGGACTCCATTCGTGGTTAGCTTGGTGCCATCTTACAAGGAATGCTTTTTTTTTTTTTTTTTTTTTTTTTTTTTTTTTGCCTAACAGCAGATCCTCTGTTGTTCAGATACGCAGCTTGTGCTGCTCCAGGAGGGGGTGTGGTTTTTGTTTGTGTTTTTTTTCTTTTTTTAATTGCAAATACAACAAGGGACTGTCTCCAACCCAACTTTTGGGGCTGTTGTTCAGTCAGGCTATTGTTCCCTGAAGAATTTGAGTTCTGATGCTGTTGTGAAGCCCAGAGTTGTCTCTGACCTTCAACTGACATTGCAAACCCAGTGCCTGGTGGTTTCACCTCAGCCCTGTGGAAGTCGAGGCACCAGTCAGTGCGTGGCTGCGAGGGTTGAGGGGTGCAGGGTGAGTTCATTCACCGTCAGAGGTGACAGCCTCTTGGTTTCCTGAACACTAAGTTCACCCCCAGCTCCCTGGCAGAACAAGAGATTTGCCACCATTTTCCATAGATGGGGTGACAAAGAACCAAGCCTTCACGCACAGTTTCTTGAAGGCCATTTGGATTTCGTTGTTGTAAGAAACCCTTCTACAAATACAAATTTTCTTCATTCAGTCTGTAAATAAAATAAAACTCATTTGTTCCTTATGTTTAATCACTGAATTTTTGGTGAATTTTTAAGAGTGGTCTTACTGTGGGGTTTTGTAGGCTGAGACTGCTCTAGATTTCTTTCCTTCCAAACATCTTAGAGAAAACAGAGTGAGCCTGGTTGGTTTGTTTCTTTTGCATCTTTTTTTCCCTCAGTCCAAATACTTGGAGTGCGATTCTCTCTGTTAACTTTTTTTTAATGACACAGAGGCAAGGACTTGCCTTCCAATAAAAACAGGGGAAAGGGTGAATTCCGTGGGGATTTGTACTGAGAAAAATCACGATGTGGGACCGCTTTGTGCACACACAGGGTGAAGCTTGCTGCTGAGGGGTGTGCTGCTGGTGTATGGCTTTTACAGGGGGGTGTTGGGGTTGGGGTGGTTAATCAGCATGGGTAGTAATGATGGGAGATTGGGAAATAAAGAGAAGAAATCTGGCCAGTCTTTGGTAGAGCCAGGCTTTGCTCAGGTGATGCAGGTCACTGTGACAACTGCCCTTCCCTGGTGAGCCAGAGCCCCTGTCCCTGCGGGTTCTCCCCGTCTGCTGGGTCTGGGGTCCCGCTGGAGCTGCTGAGCTGGTTTTCCAGAGTTACCAGAGTTGGGAGCACTGTGGGGCTGGCCCTGGGCTCCCTGTTTTGCTGCTGGAAGTAGGGGCTTGCAGGGAGGCTGCTGGTCAGTGGAGGCATTTTCAGTCTCTGTTTGTTTTGTTTTTTTTTTTTCCCACACATACTCAGTGCACCGTCCTGTGGGTGCCCTGGTCCTGCACGGCCCCGGAGGTCGGGGGAACAGGAACAGGCTTCCTGCTGCTGCTGATCGGGTCTTTAAAGCCAATCCCATCCTCCCGCGGTCCCTGTCTGCTGTGTTGATGTTGTGTTGGCAAAAGTTGTTTTATTCCTTTTATTTCGACACGGCGGCCTCGGCCCTCCCGAGCCCCTTCTCTCGGTAACCGCCTTCATCAGTCAGAGCTTTGCTCTGCTCTTGGTTTTTCTTGTGTGGTTGTAAGTCCCACACTGCTGGGAGCAGCGGGCAGGGTCAGTTCTGCAGAGACCCCGCGAGCCACTTAGCACAGTCCTTCTCCTCGCCATCATTAGCTACAAACGGGGGATTTCGACTTCAGAAACTGAATCAAAAAGGCGGCTGCTGCCGCAGACCCGGAAGGTCACCGGAGCCGGACTCTCCTCCATCAAAGAGTGAACTCGCTGTGCCGACACGGTGACAGCTGCCCGGCACGGGGCGGCGGCGGCTGAGTGTGAGCGTGGCACCGGGATGCACCGGGAAATCTGGGGATAACGTGTGGGATGCACCGGGGGGAGGCAAAGGGGTTGAGGTTGGTTTGCCCCGAGCAGCTTCAGCAGGAGCTGGGAGCCAGGTGACGCTTGTAAAGGGTTTGGTGTTTGAGAAGATCTGAAGGTTATTGCGTCAAGTCACCCCACATGACCTGGTTTCACCCCTTTTTTTTTTTCTTTAATTTTTACAGGGTATTGAGCTGCTTTTTGTACATCCCCCTGTACAAACGGGGCCTGTAGGTGATTTCTCAACCCTGGAGATTAAACTCCCGCTTACTCCCAGGTGCACTCCCTAGACTGAACAAGCCTGGCCTAACGAGCTGTTCCTCGTCAGTGATGTGCTGACGAGGCATGCGGGGTGCATTTGAGTTCCTCCTGCACGGAGAAACCACGAACAAGCCCAGGACAAAGTGCAGGGCGGCCAATTCAGCCCCCGGACTCTGAAGCAAGAGGGTGAAAGAGTGACGTGCCACAGTGACACGTTTGGGAAAGGCTCTGGGAGGAAGGGGAAAGGTTGAGCGGCCGCGCTGGGGCATTTGCTAAGTACCGTGGAAGTTTCCGTAGAAAATATCTGCCCAGGTCGGGAGTGCTGAGGCAGGTCTCTCCAGGGGCTGGGGGGGAGGTAAACGCCCGTGTCTGAGCAGAGCAGGTGAGAGGAGGAGGTCAGGGGGACGCTGGGCTCCCAGCTGGGTGCAGAGCCCTCGAAACTCCTGCTCTCTGCTCAGTTCAATTCATTATTAAAGGCAGGGATGAAGCGTTGGCTTTCATGTGCTTTGCTCCTTCTTTTTTAGCTCTTACAGATCTGAAGAGGTGTGTCCTCTTGGTTCTTTTAAGCACTTACGGTTTCCAGAAGGAAACGAATGAATCCCCGAGCTTTCAGAGCCCCTTTCGGAGCGGTTTCACCCTTCCCCCGCAGCCCTTAGCGCCGTGTCTCGGGGCAGCCCCCGAGCGCAGGGACCCTCGTAGGGAGACACCCCTGTTCTGCTGGTGCCTGCGACCCCGCGCCCCGCGACCCCCCGGCTTTCCTCCGGGGCAGCTCTGGCGCTTTAAGGGTGCTGCCTGTTTGCCACCAGCGGGGCCAAAGTCCGCGGGTTCCCGTGGTGGCTCCGCGGCCAGGCCGGGGATGCAGCTCCCCGCCGTGCCGGGGGTGCTCGCCCTGTCCCTGCTCGCCATCCCGGTGGCCTTTGGCATCAACGGAGCGACCGCCTTGGCAGAGTGAGTGTGGGCTGGGGACAGAGCTCCGGGGCTGGGGTGCTGCGGTCCGGCTCGGGGCAGGGTGCTGGGTCCTGTCCTCTGCTGGGCCTGGGGGCTGGATCCAGTCTGGGACTGGGGATTGGTTCCAGTCTGGGACTGGGAGGAAGCATCCAGTCTGGGACTGGGGATTGGATCCAGTCTGGGACTGGGAGGAAGCATCCAGTCTGGGACTGGGGGCTGGATCCAGTCTGAGACTGAGGGTTGGATCCAGTCTGGGACTGGGGGGAAGCATCCAGTCTGGCCTAGGACAAGGCTCTGTCTGAGGATGGGGGGAGCCATCCCACGCTGGGGGTAAGGGGGCACTGGGTCCCATACAGACCTGGTGAGGGGGAGCGGTGTCTAGGGGAGGGTGCTGGGGGTCCAGCGGGGGGCGGGGGGCTCTGTCCAGGCGCTCCTGCCCCGGCCGAGCCTGTGGAGCCGTGGCTGCGGGCTGGGACCGTGCCACCGTGGTTCCTGGCTGCCTCGATGCCTTTTAAACCCCGTCCTCAGCGAGCAGAGGCGCCGCGGGGCCGCGCGGGCTCGTGGCACAACACGGGGCTCACCGACAGCCCCAGCACCCCGGGGATGAGGGCGCGCAGCACCTCCCTGATTCATCACCATCCTCTCCAGCCCCCTGGCTCCAGCGCAGCCCCCGGGACAGAGGCACAGGATACCCCCCCCACACTGGGTGTCCTCCCCGGGGTGCTAGGGACCCCTCCAAGCCCCATCTCCTCCTTCCTAGAGTGACCCCCCTGACAATTTGGCTGCTGGCGTGTCCCAGCGTGGCCGATGTCACCCCTCCACAGTGGCCTCGCCGTCACCACCGTCACAGTTTTGTGCTGAGTGACATCCCCGTGACACCTCAGCCCGGCTGCTCTGCACATCCCTGCCCGACCATCACCCTCATGTCAGGGCGTCTGGTACCAGCCACCAGCCAGGGGCAGCTCCTTCACGCCCTTTTTGGCTTTTTTTATGGAAAACCACACTCTGGCTGGGGATTTTTCTCAATTTCCAGCCTCACACACCAGGACCTGCCAGCTGTGGGTTTTCCCCTCGTTTTCTTTCATCACTTTATGGCACTTTCTATCCTTTCATCCCCGCCAGGCCCTCTTCCCCCTCCTTTTCCCATTCATTACACATTTCTTTTTACAGCTAATTTCTGCTTTTGCTTTACCAGCAGGAAGCACTTTTAGCCAAACTCCTCTTAACCACAGAGCCAAGACTTTCCTGGCCACCTGATAAACTTTACTTAAAGATCTCCTGATTCTCCTTCCCATCTTTCCAGTCTCCTCTTTCCCTCCCATCCCGCACAGCACCGCGCTGTTGCAGCCCAGATCTCCAGGATCCATCCCTAGGAAATCCACCGCCCTTCCGTGTGACGTGGCACCGGGTGAAAACCATCTGTAGCTGTGGGGAGCACGGACCCCTCCAGCCTGCCCCCCCAAACTGAAGCCCGTAATAGCATCATTCTCCTGCCCAGACCTTGTGGGGGGATGTGGGGGGGTACATCCCTCTCTTTCTTCGTTAGTCCCTGCCGTGGGGTGAGTGATGGTGGCCTCAAAGCCCCTCGGGGTGACCTGGGTGCCCTGAGCGCAGCACCCCAAGGTGCTGGTACATTGGGGGGGTGGCCCCGGTGCCGGCGTGTCTTGAGCCCTGTCCCCCACAGGGTCACGTCATTTGGTGAGCGGAGGAACCCGGCGTTGTGCTACTCCACCGCAGCATCCGTATTTGAATTTTGAATTAATTGTTCTGTGGGAGTAATTAGTTGTGTAGTACTTAATTATACACTGGTAATAATGCACTTAGGTGGTGACGCTTCAATTCTTTGATTGTTTTGAGGTTTTTTTTCCATGAGCCTCTGTGTTGGTTTGGATGCTTTGGGGCATGTGGTGAGGACGAGCTCAGCCTCGCTCAGTGCTGCTGTGGTGCCCGTCCTGTCCCTGCGTGAGGGGTCCTGTGGGGACCGGTCCCTGTCCCCGTCCCTGTCCCCATCCCTGTCCCCGTCCCTGTCCCAATCCGTGTCCCCAGAAGACCAATTCCACCTGCACAAGGTGAACACAAGCTGGGTGCTGTCACAGCCTCCTGTAAATGAGGCCTGAGCTGTTCTCAGCCGGGTGACCCTGGGCCGGGGGACAGTGGCCTTTTGTCCCCTCTCGGCACGTCGGCTGTGCTGCACCGAGCGCTCGGGCTGGTAATTGGGTGTTTCTGCAGGAGAAGCTGTTAACAGCGGCGTCTGTGCAGCCAGCCAGCCCCAACTTCACATTTTCTTTTCCTTTGGTAACAGGGTTAAAAGCTTGAGTGAAAAATACTGTCATGTTTTTCACGTTTCGTAGCTGAAGTATCGGCTGGATCAGAGCTGTGGCTTTTCCGGCTGATGCTGCTTGGAGGGGATGCAGCGAGCTCGGGATAGATTTCCCTACAACTTCTCCAGTCTCTTAGGACACACTTTCAGTATCTGTCTCCTTGTTACTGATTTGCTTTAGAATCGGTTTTCCCAGTCTCTCGTAACAGTGGCCCATTGCCACAGCCGGGAGAGGGAGAGGGAGAGGGAGAGGGAGAGGAAGGACCATGTTGGGGTTTCTCCCCTCCCTTTGGTGAGACAGCCCCTTCCCCACCCGTGCCTGGATGTCAGACCTTCCTCTGGGCTTCACCCCCCCGGGGGTTATTTCAGAGCCTGGAGGAGCCATTTCGTGCCCACCCAGAGGAAGGGCAGGACCCTGTGCCGCAGTGGAACCCCTCCCTCCGCCGGGGAGCAGGGTCTGATCCTGCTTCAGCAGAGACCCCTCAAAATCAGTGCGGGCAAAAGGTCTTTCACCTGGACTGGGGGAAACGGGGCTTCACCCCCCGGGTGCTGGAGCCCGTCCCGCTGTTCCGCAGCCGCCCGCTGGTGCTGATGCTGATGGGGGTGCTGGTGCTCGCCGGCCTCTTCTCCATCATCTTCTTCGTAAGCGGAGTGAGCCACTTCCAGGACCCCCTTTTCTGCGGTGAGTTCCCCCCTCCCCGGGGTGTGGGGACTGATCCCCTGCTGGGGCAGGGAGCAGAGATCTGGGGTTCGGGGAGAGGCGGGGGCCCCGCGCAGAGCTGGCTCGCTCTCCTGCAGTGTTTGTGGTGTTCTCCTTCACCTCCGTCGTTGACCTGATCATCTCGCTGGAGGAGGATGGCTACATCTCTGGCTTCGTGGAGGTCTACGTCAGAGAGGTACCACCTGGCCCTGCCTTGGGCTCTCGCAGACGAGCAGCCCCACGCTGGGGCTCCTCCGCGGGGTCCCCCGGGGAGGGGGTGTGGGAAGGCGCTTGCCCCCACCCCGTATGATTCGCTGTTTTCCGAACGGGCAGAGTGAGCCCCACCTGCGCACGGCCCACGGCATCCTGATCTGTTACTGGGACGGCGTCATCCACTACGGGCTCTACCTCGCCATGATCGCGGCCATCGGCCAGCGGTGAGCAGGGCTGACAGTGGGGTGGCGAGGTGGCCTCTGTGGCCATGTGGCATCTTCATGGATCTGGAGCTCAGTGGGGGGCTCACGGGGGTAGGAGGAGCCTGTATTTTGTGAGGAGGGGAGCTCTGAGCCTGGCGGAGGAGTCTGATCCCGATGTCTCTGCAGAAAGAGCTACAGGAACCTGGGTCTCTTCTGGCTGGGCTCTCTGACGATGAGCATCGTTGTCTTCCTGCTGGGGAACCTGATAGGTACTGGGGTGCGGGGCGTTGCTGACCCCTCCAGGCTGCCTCCATCCCCCCCATCTCTCCAGTGGGTTTGCTCCCAGGCACTTGCCCCGTGGGCAGAGGAGGATGGTGCTGACCTGGGGGCAAGCGGCAGGTACCGACACTGGGCGCCGAGCACTCCGCCGTGTCCATCCTGTGCTCTCCTTCCCCAGGGAAATACAGCTCTGACCTCAGCCCTGCCTTCCTGCTCAACCTGCCCTACATCCTCATCCCCATCTGGGCTGGGCTGAGGCTCTTCCAGCAGCCCAAGGCCCTGCCGTGCCTCAGTCCCGAGGAGGTGAGCTGGGAGCTGGGGCAGGGGCTGCTCCAGGAGCCGTCGGCTTTATCCCCGTCCCGGGGTGCAAACACGGCGGTTTCCCTCTCCCAGGTCGCGGAGGAGCAGCGCAAGTACCTGCACCAGCGGCCCCAGGACGCGGCGCTGGTCCTGCTCCTGCTCCTCACCGCCGCGTTCACCTTCTTCAGGGGGTTGGTGAGAGCTGGAGGGGCCGTGGGGGGTCCTGGGGGTGGGTGCATCTGCCCTGCACCCACCTCCCCCCCCGCTCTCCGCACCCCCAGGTGGTTTTGGACTGTCCCGCCGATTCCTGCTTCGAGTACATCTACCAGCACGAGCCGTACCTGCGCGACCCCGTCGCCTACCCCAAAGTGCAGGTGAGAGGGGTTGAGGCGGGGCTGGAAACCTGCCCCCAGTGCCCCTGGGGATGGGGTGACCCTCTCCGTGTCCCCCCTCCCCAGATGCTGATCTACATGTTTTACGTCCTCCCCTTCCTCTGCCTCTGCATCTACGGGCTGGTGCTGCCCGGCTGCTCCTGGCTGCCCGACTGGAGCTTGGTTTTTGCCGGCGCCATCACGCAGGTGAGGGCTGCACCATCCTCCTTCCCCATGGCTGTGGGGGACACACACACACAACAACGGGGGGACCCCCGGGTTGAATTTCAGTCCCAGCCAGGAGAGAGTAAGCGGGGAGCCAGGGCTGAGCCGGGGGGGGGGACACACAGATCCGCACCCGTGGCTGCATGTGGAGCAGTTCCCACCGCCGCTGCCCACTAATTACTTTGGCCTCGGTGGATCTTAACGGAGCCGGGGATGAGTTTGACAGAAATAGGCTGGTGCGAGCGGCAGGTCTATAGATAGGCCATGCTGGGGGTGCTCCTGCCAAAACACCCTTTGGTGCCGGGGGGGGCTGTGCCAGGCCAGCCCCTCTCTGCCGTCCCCTTCCCCCGTGTGCCACCCCCTGCCCTGTGTCCCCAGGCTCAGTTCGCCCACTTGGGCTCCTCGCTGCACCCCCGCACACCCTTCCCCTACCAGACCCCTGAAGATGTCTGGTGGAGCTTCCTCCTCACCAACGTCCTCTACGCGCTGGGCCCCCAGCTCCTGGCCTTCCGCTGCCTGCGCCGCCCTGCCTTCTTCCTGCCCGCCACCCCCGCCACCCTGCACCGGGGCAAGAAGCACCAGTGACCCCTCCTGCCCACCCCGGGGAGGGGGGGGCTGCTGCCTGTCTCCCCAATCCCCTGCTGCAAGAGAAGCCGGCGCAGCCAGCGGTGACCCCAGGGATGCTCCGGTCCCCGCCGTGTCCCCTAACGCTGGGGGG